TATGTAATTATGTAAATATGCAAGTAAACCATAGTGTGGTTTGAATTATTGAAATCACCCAACAAAACTTTCCCTTTGTTTTTCCTGTTTCAGATAAGCAAGAAGGGTCTATATTTTTTTCCCATTCTCTAGTTTTCACCTTTGTCTGGAGGATGCCTGCATGAACAGGAGAACTGGTTTCACCTTTCCACCACCACACAGCTCAGAGATGTCACCTCTACATCTCCAAACTAGGAAGGTTCCTGCATACCTGATGTTCTGTGCAGAGATGCACATGGGGTGGGTAGTGAAGACATTCTTTTTAAAATTTTTTTAATTTAAATTTTTTAGTTGTTTTGATAGACCTTTATTTTTTAAATTTATATGTGGTGCTGAGGATTGAACCTAGTGCCTCACACATGTGAAGCAAGTGCGCTACCGCTGAGCCCCAGCTCCAGCCCTGAGACTTTCTTTAGAATACTAAGCAATGGTGTCAAGACGCATCCATGGACTATGTGTGGACCAAACTGGTATCACAGCCAATGAATAGGAAAATCTGGTATCAGAGAACTTCCAGTGGCAATCCTACTGGTTAAGACCACACAATTCCATGTGAATTTCTTTTTTTAATGTTTAAAATAATTCCATGTGAATTTCTATTCAGTTCTGCCATGTTCTACACAGCACTAGAGACGTGGTGACCTCTTGTAGCCACTCAGCCTCTCAGAGATGGGTATAACCTGCCAAGATGCCAATCACCCTGTTGGCTGCAAGACATCATGAAGCAAGACTCCACCCCTGAAACCTTATCCTTGCCTTTGATATACCCCCTTAAATAAAACTACCAGAGCCATTTTAGTTGTTCAGCTCCAGCGCCTGTATGGGCTGGATCTAACGGGCACTCCAAGCTTCTTACAACTATAATTCTGACTTTGTCTTTTTTCTTCACTAATTATTTTAGACTTTATTTTCCCAGGTGGTTTATCCCCTCCTAATCAGGAAAAATTACCCTGGCAAGGTGCTGGCCACATTTGATATGCAGACACCTGTTTCAGAGCAGACTTGCAAGCATACAGTCTGGATAGGGAGGCCTCTGAGATCTGGGAGAGACCTATCAACACCAGTGTCC